CTGCTCGAAATGCCCGGGTGGGTCTGTTGCCGGTGGGCTGAGGCCCCGGCGTCGTCATCTCGGCGCTGTCGAACTCCCTTGTCGAGCCATCAGACGTGCGAGTGCGGGTTTGTTCCCCTGCGGTTGCGGGTTGCTGTTGAGCGGCGAAGGCTGTGGGCGCAGGGCACCCGGCCCGGTCAGGGGGAGCCTGCGTGAGGCTGGAAACCTCCTGCAGCACTGCAGCACATGGCCGCTGACCGTCAGCATGAAGTGATGTTGCTGGCAGGTTACATCGGCCTGTCCGGCTGTACCCGGCGGTGATCTCGGAGCAGAGGTGTCTGTTTCAGCTGTCAGGGCTGTCAAGGAAACAAGCTGTGGCATTAGGATAATGTGGGTAGCTGGTGTTTTAGTTGGGTGTTACTAGGGCCTCTGCCTAGCTAAATGCGGGTGTTGCTGCTGTCCATGAGGAGGTTTTTGAAGGAATCAAGCATATAAGCAGAAGGCAGTGGCTGTAAGACTATTATTCAGAAGCTTTGTAGGAGTCGTCTTGTAGTGAGATTCAAGTTCATGTACGAAGTGAAGTCTACAGTTTGACCTCTGCTCCTTGCAGGCTGCAGAAGATGTCAATGTTACTTTTGAAGATCAACAGAAAATTAACAAATTTGCAAGAAATACTAGCAGGATCACAGAGCTGAAAGAAGAAATAGAAGTGAAAAAGGTATATTTGCTTCAAATATCACTTACTCTTTATTGCCCTGAATTAATTTTCAGCTGTAATACAGAAAATAGGGGCTATGGATTACTGTAAATAATGCTTTAGTTCTAATGTGAGATTTCTGATGCGTTTAAAATAGCCGGAGAATGTTGAAGTGGAAGAAGTCATGAGAAGTAAAGGCCACAAGTATATTTCCACATTCTTAGAACTCCTTGGGTGTCATATATGAACTATTGTCTATATCTGATGGCTGTTCGTAGTGTTCTTAAAATTTCCTGCCTGAGATTCTTCATGTTTATTTATTCTTGAACCAGTAAGGCAGTTGTTTGTTATGTTCTTTTGATGTGTTGATGAAGATTGTCATTATGAGCACAAAGGTTTTTTTCGCTAGGCTGAAGAGGATAAATCATTCTGATTTTCTTTTTTAGTATTAGTTCACTTTCCTTCAACATGAGTCATAGCATTTCCAAAGAAGTTTTACTGAGTTTTTAAAAAATGCTCGTGCTGTCACAATATGTTTTCTATAATTATTTTGCCTGATAAGTATATTGTAAAAAGGTTGCCTTTTTTATGTTGATGTTCCATTAATGACTTATGGTGCTGGAACTCTAAGCACTACTACTTTTGCAATAAAGTAATTAACACTTGCCATCTTATTTATTATTTTTTTCTATTTTCTTGCTAAATTTAAAAATTCCTGAGTAAGAGCATATCTGATATTAGTGACATTTAAATTGGCTGTATTTCCCTTGTCTTGAGGGTTAATTATCCTAATAATGACAGATAATGAGTATTGACTAGAAATTTCTACTGGTACAGCTCCATTGAATGTAATACTTACGCTAAGTTACAGCTCTGGAATTGTTCTATTAAATATGTTGATAGCATGCTGACGGGTAGGATTTTTGCCCAAAATGCGGACTCACTGAGTTCATTATTCAACTGATTGCATGACAGTGTACCCATTGAGATAATTTACCTAGTATGAAGTGACCACCTTTCTCACGTCTTGATAAATAGAAACAACTTCAGAACTTGGAAGATGCTTGTGATGACATCATGATGCTTGATGATTGTGATCCACTTCTGATACCCTACCAGATTGGAGATGTCTTCATTAGTCATTCTCAAGAAGAGACACAAGAGATGCTGGAGGAGGCAAAGGTTTGTCTGGGCCAGAGAGCTCCTTTTCTGTACTGGCTGCTATAGTGTGAGGAGTGTTGGAATGGGATGATCTGTTCATCCTTTCAACCTTTTGCTTTCTAAAGTTCATGTTTGATTTGTGGTGTGAGGAGGGGGATGTGCATGTGCGGTAAATCAGAACTGGGATGTCAGCGTACGAAGTTATGCTAACCTTTGTTTGGCCCCGTAGTAAGTCTTACAGCTTGACTTGGCAAACAGTTGGCACAGGGTTACCTCTATTGTTTAGATGTTGCTGACAGATATGACTTGGTTTGTTTTACATAACTAGTTTTTTTTCTTTTTCAGAAAAGTTTACAAGAAGAAATTGAAGCATTAGAATCTCGAGTGGAATCAATTCAGAGGGTGTTATCGGACCTGAAAGTTCAGCTCTATGCAAAGTTCGGAAATAACATAAATCTTGAGGCTGAGGACAGTTAAAGGTGTTCTAAAGATACCATACAACTTTTCCTTGTTTTATTAAATGTTTTGATAACATCATTCAATTACATTTAAAAAAAAAATCCCACTTTTGTTTTTTATTTTCTTGTCTTGGGTTCCATCTATTTAATGAGAGCTTTCTTATTTTGATTATTGCAGTTATTTATTTGTTCAGGAAAGCATTAGCTTCATACTGTTGGTAAAGCATCAAGATGGAAGTATTTGCATTGTTTGTTAAAGTAATAAAGGCAGGCACATATTGTAGTTTCCTTGGTCTTGTTTTCCACTCCTGAAAATACTTAAGTATAAAACCAATAGAAACGTGGAATTTATGATTTGCACTGTCATGGCTGCTTGATAAAAAATTCTCTGTAATGTGTGGGGCATGATTCAGCTGTAATGCTATTTAGCTGTTTTTAGCAGCCCTCCTGGAAATACTAAATCTATCCTTTCTTTTTCAGTCTTATCTCAGATAGCGTAAACACTGTTAGCTCAGTGCATGACGTGGCAACAAGTTGACAGGGGAGAAAGGAGGGCTCTTTAAAGCTCGCATTGATATTGAAGAAAAGATTTTGGAGCCACAGTCGTATTCAGTCATTTACTATTTTGTATTTGGGAATCACAAAAGATGCTGTAAGTCAGAATGGTGAGTCTCACCTTCTTCTAATTTTCCTGAGCAATCATTTTCTAAATCCACATTTATATACCAAATTAATGTCAGAATTGTTCATAGATGATGCTATGTCAGCATGAATCCCTGGAACTATGTCTCCATCACTATGTGGAGTTGAATGTAATTTTTAAATGTCTTGATTTGCTGACTCCTTACAACCTTAAGAAAAATTATGTACTGTCTTACTGTAATTCTTCTTTTGGACTTTTGCCTGCTTTCATTAATGTATTGTTCCATGGAAATAACTGCTCATTATGACTTTGTTTTCAAAAACTAAATCTTGGCATACTTAAATCATCTTTTTAAACTATTTTCCAAAACAATCTGGCCAGAGAATTCAGTTGGCCAAATATTAATCTACAGTCATTGTTCTTAATATAAACAGAGTATGAGATGAGTATATTTTTATAAAGTGATTAATACATACCTATCATACGTCAATTGTGTAGCATCTCTTCTTCAAACAACGTGCAAGTGGATGAAAAAACCCCCACTTGATTTCTTTTGTTACTGAAGTAGTTTTGACAGGGTAGTGATGTTGAACTTGACCTTCAGTAAACCTGAGCAGGATCTCACCAGTGCATTGTTATTTATGGATTACACCATTGTAACGTACATAGTTGTTTATGTAAAGTTTATTAACATTGTATACAAGGTTTAATGTAGCCATTACAGAAGACTGTCTTCAGTAGTGGAGATCTAATACCTCAACACAAATACTTGTATTACATACAGTGTATATCAACTGATGGCTGAAAGTGTCCGAAGCTGTGTGAGTGTTCTGCCTAGCCCTGGTGTTTCCCAAGGTGTTTTTTTCGGTAGAATTCCAGTGGTTTGCATGCTTCTGCTGCAGGACCTGTGCACAAATACCCTGGCTATAACTGTACAGATTTTTAACATTGTTTTCTAAGTGGTTGTGTTTTTCATTCAAGCCTATGCCTCAGGAAAGAGTTCATGCTTTTCCTTACTTCCTGAGTGAATACTTCAGCTACTCTGAGGTAAAATGTGGATGTGGTAGCCATGGCAACTCTGCTGCTCTATCTGCCAGCCAGTGCTTGTAGCAAATCGAATGTGATGGGGCTTCAAGGAGATATAGGTATTCCTCTACATAATTTCTGAACCCTCCATACTGTTTTCTGTGTTATGTAGGCGTTTGGCACCAGAGTACTTAGAGCCGTTCTGGGTTGACCAATTACTCTTACTTTAGATGCTAAAGGGAGAAGAAAGTGGCCAGTTATTTGAGAGCAGCTGATGTGAGCATTGTGGACTTAGGTGACTCAGCTCTGCCTTATCCTGCTTTATTAGATGTAGCTCGTAGTCCAAAATTGTCTTTCAGGACAGTGCAGTTTGAGAGCTAAGTAGTGCCAGGTTACAGTCTTAGTAGGTGCTGGTATCTTGAGTTTTTTTCTAAACAGCCAAACCATTCATTTGGTTTGTTAAAGTAAAACATCCAAAGCACTTGTCTTTTTACAATTATAAACTGAAGACAATGCAAGATTTCTTTTTCCAGGTGAAAACTGAGCTAGTGGTGGAGTTTGACCCATAATGAGAAGCATCCAGCAGATGGCATCAAAGAACGGGGAAGCCCAGTTTGCGGCAAGCCTGTGCCTGGGCTGTGAGTGCCAGTGCTGGCTTTAATAAACTGAAAGTGGCTGCAGTGATCACATTCTCATTAACTGGTTGGTAACACTTTAAAATTGCCAGCTCTGCTGTTCTGAGTGTATTCATGGCTGTGTAGACTGCAGGTACGTAAAATGATTGTAATGTCCAGATAGGCCATAGTATGGATATGACTTCATTACAGAAAAGAAAAAGGCAGCTAGTAAGGTTTAGCTGTGATTCCGGTGGCAACTGTACAGCCGATGAGAACCTTGTCCAACCAACTTTTTCACATTAGTCTCTGGATCATTGTAATTTACAGAATGTGCTGTCCCAGGCTATCATTTGATATTCTTATATATGTGAAATAAAATGTGCAGGATATTATTTTTTGTTCTTAATTTGTCATTGTAGAAGTTAATTTGCAGATCATCCATTGGTTGCTTGAAAGTATTTGACAGAGTCCTAATTTTTCCTTTCAATAACTTTGCTCATCCCTTATGAATATGTATACGTGTTTTTCAGTTGACATTTTTTCTGTTTAGCGCCCCATCTTCGAAATACTTCTTATTTTTGGTAGATTGGAAATTTCTGTTAACTTCAATAGAGTTTGCCTTACAGTTATCGTGTTCAGTTAATAGAAGTCCATGAAAAAACCCGGATTCTCTATGCACCTCTCTACATGTCACGAATCAGTTAGCTACACTTGTAAATATACATTTTTTAATATCGTTGTCAGAATGCAGATAGTTTACTGTCGTTCTGTATATTATCAAGGGAGTGACATTTGTAAAGCACTTCAAAGATGAAATGCACCATAGAAATGTTAACTTATTTTAATTTAAGGGCATCATTTAGAGCGTTGGGCCAGTGATCTCTTATGGTCTCTTAGTGACTGAATTAGCTATTCAGCTCCATCTTTGTGTTAAAATACAGTTTCCGTACTCTTTTTGTTTTGCGAGTCATAGAGCTTCCAGTGGCTGACTTTTCACTTGATTGCAGCAATTAAAGCAGGTTAACTAACAAAACTGCAGCCAGTGAAATACAGCTGATTTCAGTGCATGATGTCAAGGAAACTTAACTTACCGGTCTTTCAAAGTAGCCTGACAAAAACTTTGTAAAACATAGTAGGACACAATTATTATACTTACTATATTTTCAGGGGCTTGTTTGTGATGCTTTGTCTTGTCAGTGGATGTAAAAATGTTTTCCAGATTATTATCTCTAGCATAACCTACTCCATTGGAACCTTCATTATTGCTCATTGCTTTTGTACAAAAGATCCTCAGATACCATTACACTCCATAACATAAATGTGGTTGATAATTATTCAATAATTACAGGAAGTGGTATGTGTAGCCAAAGTCGAGATAATTTTGTGGTATTAACTGTCACTTCAAAGAGCAAAAAGAGATTGAATGATGAATACTAAAGCCATATTTTCCGTAGGAGCAACAGAATTAAGTAGTTTGGTTTGTAGGAGTCAATGGTTCAGATAATTTATCTAAAGTTATTCTAATAGTATGATTCATGAAAGAGAAAAAAAATATGAATGTATATAGGCATGATAAGGCCTGACAGAAACTATTTACAACCAAATTTGTCCTTATATTGGTTGTATGAGTCATACAGAGAAACAAATTATTTTGTAATTAAATGTTAGCTACTGATCAGACTGCATAGAACACAGTGCGCCAAACGCAGGCGTAAATGGCTATGAAGAATTTTCCTCAGCAAGAGAGGGAACAGGTTTACAGTTAATGGGGACTGCATCCAGCTGTTAGAGGTGTAATAAAAATATGAGCCTGAGTAGAACATCAGCCATTTACTGCAGATTTACAATAATCTTTTGTTTGCTGTTGCTCACCAAAGCTGGTTAGTATACTGTGACTTTGATCTCAATTTATAAATTGCAGGTGTCATCAGGTGGCCCTCTATACTTGTGCCAGCAGACCCCACACTTGGGGACACTGAGTGGTGGGGTGCAGGGTTATAATGCAAGTTCATCAAAGGATTGCTTCAGGATAACCTCTGTGGTCTGGTCTGGCATTGTTACCACTTGTACAGGGGAGAGGAGAGACAAGATGTACTTGATGTTGAAATGCAGGCTTGACCAGCACTACACGTGGCTGTTTCCTTAAGATACCTGGAACATTTCCTGTTTGCTTTCTCAACACAGCCCAGCACCAGTGAGGAAAAACCTTGTTCACTGGATTTTTAGATACTGTCAAGTTTTACCCCTTCAGGCATGTTACAGAAGTCCATCATGTCATCACATGTTTCGATGATTTTCTTGTGTTGTTAACTGTAGTTAATAGGATTGTGCATACCAGACTTACAGTGCTCTGGTAAAGCTACAAGTTTTAAAAACTTAGAGTTGAAATTTATGTATCTGGATGGAAGTGTGAATTAAACCAGACAGATTGGTAAGGACTAGTCATTGAACAGCAACCACCTATAGCACACAGGTATAAAACGTTACTGCGTTTGGGTACACAACAGCAGTAAATCAACTTGGATAAAATTGAGTCTCAACGCACGTGGCTAAGGACTGATGGTAACTCTACACCCATGACTGTTTTTTATTAACACTTTGGGGGGGAAAATAATAAAACTTTCAGTTTTATTTCTGTTGTGAAAGCTCGCTCTTCCCCAGTTGCTTAATACTGCTATTAAAAGTTCATCCGTAAAACCTTTAGTTTGTTTTTGAAAATGTCTCCCAGCACCAATATTAGACATGTTTATGCTCTCAAACAGCCTCTGGAGAAGTTTTTAAATTTAAGACTTGTCTCTCCTTTGCAGGGGTTAAGAGAAGTGTTTGTATGTTTTTCATGTATGTGCTACCTAATACAAATACATTACGATAATTTATGTTCTTGAAAAGAAGACCAAGGATGTACTTAAGATGTTCAGGATAGCATTTATAGTGGTTGACTTTTGGTGAGGGAAGCGAGGATAATGTCAGCTGCAGATGGAAATCCTGGCAACTCCT